GGGGGGGGGGGGTGCCTTATGCATGAAACGAGGTGCTGCTGGTGGGAAGGCGCTCAGTACGCATGAGCATCCCGCCCACTCCCCAAAAAATAAAGCAGAGAGCTGCATTTATTCGTGTCTGTGGGACTAAGTGTGGTGACAGCATGTGTTTTCCACCCATGGCAGGAGGTCGGCACAACATAGCCCAGGATGGATGAAGCCGACCACTGCAAGACGGTCACAAGTTTGGATCCTGTCCCTGCATCCTCCACTCTGCATTCCCCGAGGGCCGACAAGGGCTGCAGGACACGTGTCAGGCCCAGGCCCCGCCACTGGGTGGTCCCATTTCTCCTGAGACTCCCTCTCAGACTCTCTAACATCCCTTCCCTCCTCCCAGCTGGCAGGACCCAACCATGACCCTTCACACCTCACTGAGGTGAGCCAGAATTCGCTACAAGGAGTCTTTTGTAAGAGCGAACATTTATTCAGTCAACAAACATGGGATGTCTGCCAGGGCCGGACACGGCTGGTCGTCAGGACACACAGAACACGTGATCAGTCAACGTGAAACAGCATGACGTCAGCCTGCGCCTGGTATTCCCAGATGTCCTTGACTAAGTGACAATTTACACAGTGTTTCATTAGATGCCTATTAAGAAGAGAAGCACAGCTGATGCCATAAACCGAAGCCACCCCCAGAATGGGAGGGCTGATTAAGCAGAGGCCGTGGAAACAGGTCCAAGTTGCTGGGCAGGTCCTGGAGCTGCGCCCAGGCAGCGGGGACGGCTCTCGGCAGTGCACTCGACGGCCGGAAAGCCTCGCTAGGGTCCAGAACCTCCCTTCCACCCCGCTCCCTTCTCTTCTGTTCCTAAAGAACGAACCCAGCCAACGACCGAGTGTGGAGTGTGAGCCCCAGGCAGGGACAGGGGGGAACCCTAACGTCACCTGCAGAGAGAAGCCCCGAGCAGGCAGGCAAAGATGAACACACCTCTTCTGAGCGTGACCTAAACACGCACAGATCTCTGAACAGCGTTGGTGTCCATGAATGCTGCCACTGTTGCAAAAACAGTCTTGGAGAGCACGGGGAGGAGGGGTCACCAGCCGAACCGGGCTATTTCTTCAACTCCAAGATGGCACTTCCTGGTCCGCGGTGCTTGGCGCTGCAGATGTTGCAGAACTGTGCGGGCGAATTCTAGAAACGTAATTACAAGACACGGGTTTTAAAAAAGCTTTTTTGGCTGCCTGGGTCATGATCTCGCGGTCCGTGAGTTCGAGCCCCGTATCGGGCTCTGTGCTGACAGCTCAGAGCCTGGAGCCTGCTTCGGTTTCTGTCTCCCTCTCTCTGCCCCTCCCCTGTGTGCTTGCTCTCTCTCAAAAATAACCATTAAAAAAATAAAAATTCTTTCTATTCTCATATTCAGAAATCTTATGGGAACATTGGTCAGGGGGTGGGGAGGAAGCTAGGAAATGTCCCTCCATTTCCTGGAGATTTTTGCTGGGTCACAGAGGGTTCTGTGAGACTCCAAGAACCCCCCCACAGCAGAACAAGTCTAATGTGACCAGGGGGCACATGGGGGACCTGACTTGATACTGAAAATAGCAGTGTCACGATATGGAAATCGGGCTGAAAAAGTGAACACTAGAAAATGGTTTTCACTGTATCTCACAGCTGTATGGCTTGACCCTCATCAATTGTACCTACATGAATCCACTCGATTTTGGGTTTAGCACAGTAATCCCCCTTTATCCGTGGGGGTATGTCCCAAGACCCCCGGGGGAATGCCTGAAACCACAGTACCAAACCCTAAATACACTGTTTCTTCTGTACATCCCTACCTAGGATAAATTAGGCACAAGATTGATAACTAATAAAACAGACAATGATAACAATACACTGCAATAAAAGTTACGTGAACGCGGTTTACCTTGTACTGTACTCACCCCTCTTCCCATGAGGAGGAGGAGGAGGAGGAAATGCCTGCCTGCGGAGGTGAAGTGAGGAACGAAACAGGCATCGTGTAGACTACTACTGACCTGGCTGTTCGTCAGGAAGACAACCGCCTGCTTCCAGACCGCGGGTGACCGCAACCACGGAGAAGGGGGCACTACTGGGTAGTATACTAAGCGTCTTTACCCTTGAGGAATAAAGCCATTTTCTCGTGGGATCTAGAACGAATTCTGAGAAGCCACAGAGCCACGGGATGACACATTAGACTTCGGACTTCCCACTCACCATGCTGGGCACGGGCAGGCACTCCTTGTGGAACATGTGGCGGCAGTGGAAGGCCACCACGCTGAAGGGCTTAGCGGCATCTGGGGGGCACAGGGCAGAAAAGAGAGAAGAACCCAATGAAACAGGCAGATCGGGAACTGCGGGAACCGCTCCCGACTGCAAGTCCAGCTGTGGTTCAACGTTCCGGCAGGAAGCGCCGTAGGAGGACCGCACGGTCACAGAGGCATCCCCGAGGGGTGCTGGGAGCAAACGCACAGCAGCTACCACAACCGAGCTGCTCTGAGTCAAGGTCACAGACCTCCATGTCAGTTACGCCTACAAACTGGGGACCGCTTCCCAGCGAATGCAACCATGTTTATTTTAAAGGTTAGGAGGAAACTTGGGGCGCCTGGGTGGCGCAGTCGGTTAAGCGTCCGACTTCAGCCGGGTCACGATCTCGTGGTCCGTGAGTTCGAGCCCCGCGTCAGGCTCTGGGCTGATGGCTCAGAGCCTGGAGCCTGTTTCCGATTCTGTGTCTCCCTCTCTCTCTGCCCCTCCCCCGTTCATGCTCTGTCTCTCTCTGTCCCAAAAATAAATAAACGTTGAAAAAAAAAATTTTTTTTTTAAAAAGTTAGGAGGAAACTGGGTGGCTCATTCGGTTAAGTGTCCAGCTCTAGATTTCTGCTCAGGACATGATCTCATGGTTTGTGACACTGAGCATCGCATCAGGCCCTGTGCTGACAGCATGGGGCCTGCTTGGGTTTCTCTCTCCGCCCCTCCCCCATTCTAAGACTTAAAACAAATTAGGATGTGTATCCCCTCTTCCCTTCCCTGTGCCCTTACACACACTATACACACCATATCCCTCAGTCCATTCCGTGGCTTTAGAAAAATCCTGCCAGTTCACCTACTGCCTTGGCCAGGACCACTCAGTGACTTGGGGGCAGAGCAGGGTGACAATCCTAGGCTGTGACCTTGCACCGTGCTGTGAGCACTTCTGCAGAATTTAATTACACACCGCGGGTGCACTGGTCTGCAGGTCTGTTAAAACACGGCCTAAAAACACTGCGAAAGCTCACTTTTCCTGCGTCCGCTGCGGTTTTTAACATGAACACTTCAAACCCATTTCCTCTAGAAAAGACCCTGGGGGGAACAGACTTCTCATGTTGCTGTTAGATTATCCCTTAAAGCTAAGTAAACCCTGCAGCAGCTAGCTCTCTTGGTACTTCTGTGTGCTGAATTTGTATCAAAGGAGCACTTTTTTTGCATCCCAACAGCTATGCTTTAATTGCTATTTTCAAATTCTGGAATTTCCTCTTCTGTCCTATCCTTACGTAAGGCACTCCGATTACACACGACGATATATATATCTACCAACTATAAATAAACACGTGCTTGTGTTCTGAGGAGGCGGCACATAGTAGGTTTCCGTCGAAATCGGGGATAACTTAGGGGCCCATAACCACAGAGCAGAGAAAAAGTTTAAAGAAAAGGGAAGTACAATTTTTTTTTTTTTTGTGCTGGTGTACAATTTTTTTCCTAGATACACACGATTCTTCTTCCTTGGAATTTAAACATGTTGATGGTAGTTTTTCCATTCTATTTTACTCTAAAGCCATGATTCTCAAAGAATGGCTCCCGAAGAAGCATCTATGTCACCCGGGAATGTGTTGGAAATGCAAATTCTTGGGTCCTGCTCGGGAACTACTGCCTCTGCACGTGTTGGGGGGGTACCAGCACTCTGGGCTTCCCGAGCCTTCCAGGTAATGCGGGCTCACTCTAGGATGAGCGCCTCAGCTTTACAAAATGGTGGTGCCGGCCTGGACTGGGTAGGTTTGTGGGCCGAAATTCTGTACACAGATTATTCCAGAAGTTATAGATTAGCTAACGTCGAAATTTTAATTCTGGGGCGCCTGGGTGGCTCAGTGGGTTAAATGCCCGACTTCAGCTCAGGTCATGATCTCACAGCTCGTGAGTTCGAGCCTGGTGTTGGGGCTCTGTGCTCATAGCTCAGAGCCTGGAGCCTGCTTCGGATTCTGTGTCTCCCTCTCTCTCTCTCTCTGCCCCTCCCCCACGTGAACACACACACACACACACACACACACACACACACACACACACTCTCTCTCTCTCTCTCTCTCAAAAATATAAAAAATTAAAAAAAATTAATTCTCCTCATAAACACATATTTGGGGGATCTCCGCCCGCCAACCATCTTACCTGACGGAAGAATAGGGGAAAGGCACGACTCACAGATGTTTTCCTCTGCAAGGAAACACACACATTTGGGATTAGACAGCCTTTCTGTTTGCTCTGTCTCTTCTGAAAGCAAGGCCTATGGTTCCAATAGGATTATTTCAATGATACCCACCATCGACCAGAACGCCTTTCATTTGAGTCCGGTGCATCCTCTTCAGTAAGGACAAAGAGTCGGCTACGAGAATCTTCTTGCAGCCTTCACGAAGCAGGATCTAATGCATTCGTTGTAAAACAAAACAAAACAAAACAAAACAAAACAAAACAAAACAAAACAAAACGAAACCCGCATCTTTAGAAGACTCAAATATGGGGGAGAACCCTCTTACTGGGGATTCAGAAAATTGGTGTTTGAAGCTGCCCGAGGAAGCACTCACTGCTTGCCAGCCCTCAGTACACTCTTCCCTCCAAACCTGTCAGACCAACCTTTCCAGCCTCCGTGCAGTCACAACTGCACTTAATGTATGGCCGTTCCTGTAGCGCTTGTGAAATGACATACGAATGTAAAAGTCTGGCAAGGAAGGCTGTATTAATGAACCCTGACGTTATCTTACAAGGCTTCCTAACTCGGACTCTGCCTGGCAGTTCTGCCCCTCTGTGACCTGCTCATTCCAGGATGGAAAACCAGCTATTCCAGAATGTTCCATTTGATAACTCCGTCTATCTACTGCACTGATCTATACGGGGTCCATATCACAGACAAGGAACAGGGCACAGAGCAGCTAAGCAGACAGGATCTCTGTCTTAACCCCCCTCCTGGCCGCAATCCCTCTCTTCTCCCATCCCAACTGTTCAGCGCAGTGCTAAGGGTCTCAAGTGTCTCTGTTAACCCTCCAATTTGGGGACTCTTAAAGGGGGCAGACGACTGAAAACTGACCACAGATGTTCATATTCTGTTACAAGATCCATTTTCTTCATCCCAGTACTGCGCTTTTTCTTTATGCATTTTTCCTGCTACTTCGTAAGTTACATATTTTCTCCCTCGCTGCCTGGACAACGAGGAGAGGCAGGGACCCCCACAGCAGCCTCACAAGTCACGACACCCACAGTGCAGGCCAATGCTGCTGGGTGGCACCCACCTTGTGTTTCGGAGCCGGGGCGGATGGAGACAGAGAGTGCCCACCTGCTTGGGGCACAGGAGACAGACCACCCGCTGTACCTTTTGCCCCGTTCCATGGGCCCCGGTGAGAGTTTCCAGCCTGTTATGGGTTTTCCGAGGTGTTTTGTTAGAAATTGGCAGAGGCTGTGTGAGGTGTGCTTATGCCAAGTGCCTTTTTTTTTTTTGAACCAGAACTTGTTGCTTTTCTAAGAGGGGGACACTCAGGGCCTGAAGGGCAGTGAGGCTCTCTGTGGTAGGGTCTGTGGCTCGCTCTTCTGGCTCGATGGGTCTTAATGCACGTTTCTGTGCGGTCAGATGTAACTGTCCCGGAAATTCACAGAATGATGCCCTCACCGCCTCCCTAGGTCCAGCTCTGGGTCACAGCGAATACTGCTCTCAAGAGGTGCGTCCCACCCTTCTTCATACTACGCATGTGTCTTGCTTTTCAGGTTTTCAATTCATGCCACTGGGCCACCTGGGCTCTGCTATCCCCGGTGTCTACACTAATACACGCTCCTCTCAAATCCTGGACAGCATGGGCTGGGGGAATGCAGCCCAAAGGCTTGCTCCCCAGTCCTACAAAAGCAAATACTCAAGAAAACAGAGCTGATGCCCAGATCTAAGTTCTGTACCTGCCATTTCTAGTACTGCTGAACAGGAAATAAAGCTCTACGATTTCTACATTAATCGAGACACTGCCTATGACGTTTTCTTCTTCAAAATGCTACTAAAAATCAGATTTTGGATTCATTTAAAAAAGGCATTAAAACTTTAATGGGTATCATTAAAGCACACAGGAAGAGAAAAATATGGTAAGAAAGAGATCTAGGAGATACTGATACCAGGGGCGCCTGGGTGGCTCAGTGCGTTAAGCGTCCGACTTCGACTCGCGGAGCGTCTGACTCCTGCTCTCACGGTTTGTGAGTTTGAGCCCCATGTCAGGCTCCACACTGATGATGTGGAGCCTGCTTGGGATTCTCTCTCCCTCTCCCTCTGCCCCTTCCATGTATGTGCTCGCTCGCTCGCGCTCTCTCTCAAAAATAAAAAAAAATACTGATGTTAGTAACTTTAGGAAAATTGATAACCAAACAGAAAACTGCTCTGCCTCCGATACCAAAATAAAAACTTAAGAAAAACAGTGTCAAAGTATCTTTGGTAAAACGTTTCAAAACGAGCTGGCTCTGACCCTGAGTGGGTCTCCCGCACGAGTGATACAGGAGGAAAGGCAGACCCAGCAGTATGGACAGAAGCCACAGTGCCTGCAAATTTAAAAAAGAAAATGCAAAAAAAAACCCTGCAAACTGAGGAGGAACCGTTTCTTTACCAGGATTGCGTTTTTCTAAATAGGTACAATCCGCCTGCCCACAGCAAGGCATTTTCTAGGAAAAACTTCAGTATTCACAGGCCCTCAGCCAGGAGAAGGGAAAATACACAAATACAGCGTAGTATATGTTACTTTATACTTCATCTGCCCAAAACCCAAGCCTCCAAAGCAGGAAAACACAAAAACGGTTTCTCATTTACGTGATACCAGGCAGGTAGGTAGAGCACGAAATGCAGCTACCATCGGTGCAGAAGAACCAGTTATCCCACAAAACCGGGAGTACTCCGAGGGCAATCAGAGCAGGTGAGTGAAGCCCACACAAGAACACCGTAGCATCAGATAGGTACTATTTTCAGCGTCAGACATGACAAGGCATTAGGTTGACCATGGATCATTCGCTGTAGCAACCATCAGTGACTCGTGAAAAATCGGCTGTAGCGGTCACTGATTTATCTCAACCTTAAAAGTGGATACTTGGTGTTTCCCACGAACGCCTTTATTAAAACATCGGTGGCGGAGTCCAACTCCGTCCTCTTCAGCCCTCTCTGACCTGCGTGATTTCCGACAACTCCCATCTTCCAAGGTGGTCACACGCAGCCTGCTCCCACCTGTGGACGCTCACCTCCCACGGTCTCCAGCCTTGCAGACCTGGCATTATTCACGTCCGTGGGGCACAGGCACGCTCTCCTGCCATCCAGGTCTTTATGACCAAAATGCCGTCGAGTCACTGCCAGTCACGTTTTGAATATATCCTCTGCCACTACTTTGGGCTACTTTCCGTTTTAAATCGTGAAATACAGCAAACATAGAGAATAAAATATACTCAAGTCTCTGCACTTAGATTGAGCAAAGCTATTAAGGTGTTACCGTATGCTTCAGATCGATTTCAGAAGAAAAAGAAAAGATTTCAGATCTAGCTGACACTTCCGTGCCCGCTACCTTCCCTCCTCCTTTTTTACAAACATGACTTCAACTATGTTCAGTGTGTCCCCAACTAAACCATGCAGCTGCCTGGGACTCATGCAACACAGATCTAGCCAATGAGATGAACGTAGAGGCTGGAAAGCCATCCTTTCCCAAATAAAAAAGCAAAGCCTCATCAGGAAAGAGCCCTTTGCTTCCCACATCTTCCTGCCTGGAATGTGGATGTGCGGTCCGGAGATACAGCATCTGGTTTGTGACCAAGAGGCAGCAATTTGGAGATATACTCTCCTGTTGATGGACATCTAGGCTGTTTCCACTCTAGGGCTATTAGGGATAAAGTTACAAAGGACATTTTTTGTACAGTTCTTTTGTGGACCTACTTTCCATCTTGGATAAATACTTAAGAGCAAAACTGCTGGGTTATGAAATAGGTATATGCCTAATTTTTAAAGTACCTATCAAATAGTTCTGCAAAGCAGTTACACCATTTTACGTTCCCATATATTATGTTTTAATATCTCATAAATCTCTCCTCCTTATTCTTCTTAACCTTAGCCACTTTATACAAAAACTTAGGACAGTAAAGAATTCTTTGGGGGTTTTGATTAGAATTGTATCAAACATATAGATGATGATTACTTTAGAAAGAATTTATGACATTTATGGTTATGTACATACTGTCAACAATTAAAGGGTTAGATTCAATTAGCTAACGATTTGTGTAGCCTTTCTGCATTTGTTAAAGAGACAAGGCTCTAATGGTCTTAGATTGCCCTCCTAGGACGCTGGAAAGGTTAGACTAGCATCCCCCAGGGAACTGAAGAGCTTTTCTGTTCTATCCTCTGGAAAAGTTTATGTAAAATAGGGATTGCTTGGGTTTGGTTGTTAGGCTTTATTCTTTATTTTTTCAGATGAGCAGCAAAGCAATCTTCGAGATGTTGGGTTTCTCTCTGGAATGAATTTTATGGTTCTTTTATTCACTGAATCAATATGGCAGGGCTGTGACAGCTTGGCTGGCCACCTCCCAGCATTGTCCTCCTCTTCCTGGAAGCTGATGGGACCTCAGGTGTCAGTTGGGTCCATCGTGTCCTGAAGACAGACCATTTCTCACCTCCTTTGCAGGGTAGAAAGGTTGCCCTCTTCTCCTCGCAGATCCTGGCTTAATTAAAAGGTTAACTACAAAATATATTTGGGGACTGCCTGTTTTAAAACTTTGATAAAACCAATCTCTAAAGTTGACTGTGGATTAGTGCTTTTATTGTGGCTTTATGTTCTGACTACTGATTTAATGACTATAGGGCTATTTGTTCTTGAGTAAATACTGGCAATTTATATTTTCCTAGAAAACGGACTTTTCTTTTTTAATATGAAATTTATTGGTTTCCATACAACACCCAGGGCTCATCCC